ATCGGATGAGGAGGAAGAGGAGGAGGAGGAGGACCCCGAGGAGAGAGACAACTTCCTGCAGCAGCTCTATAAGTTCATGGAGGACAGAGGTGAGCGCTCAGAGCCCCGCCCACAAAACAAACTGAAGTGTCAGATTACAGCCGATCCAAGCAGCTGCTGAAGAGGTTTTTTTATTTAGTTTAAAGCACCTGTGGCATCAGATTATTGTAATAAACTTTAATGAGTTTTTGGAAAGATAAGGTTGATAAAATGTTGCGAAACAAATTTCACACTGCTGAGATGAACAGTTGTTGAGATATTTGAATGTGAAGAAACAGGAAGTGATGTCAGAGGGGATTGTCTGCATGGAAACAGAGCGTTGTTACAACAGACTGTAGAGAGTCTGATGTTTCTTTAGATTATTTTGAATGACTGTCAAAGAGAGACAAAGAAAAGTTAAAGTTTAAATGATTTTGTTTTAATAAACAAAAACAAGAGTTTATTTTATTAATGAATTCCCCTTTGATGTCACTTCCTGTTTCACTTGGACTGAGACAAATTCAGAAGAAAACAGGCCAGTTATGAGACAAAATATGTGTATTATGCCAATTTTCTTAAGTATAAAGATGTTTTCTTTAACTTTTTGTATTTGAAGGACAGGCATGTCACAGACACTTTAAAGATTATTTTAATGCTGAATTAAAGGGTTTTATGGAAACAAAAACAAAATGTTTTACAGATTTTACTGAAGTAAAGATTTAAAAACTGATCCACGATCGCTGGTCTCCTCCTCAGGGACTCCCATCAACAAGCCCCCCGTGCTGGGCTACAAAAACCTGAATCTCTTCAAACTTTTCCGGCTGGTCTATCACCTGGGAGGCTGTGACAAGGTGAGGAGGGGGTGGAGCTAATGGAAGGGATCCCTGAGTGTGAGTGATGATGCTGAAGAGGGTTTCGCAGACTGCACTGAGCTCCTGATGATCCTCTTGGCTGTCTGACACGAGCCGGTGTGTTTTCCTGTCCTGTGGGCTGATAGTGGWTTAGAACCTGACCGGACTCGGTGGTTCTGTTTCAGATCGAGTCTGGCACCGTGTGGAAACAGGTCTACATGGATCTRGGGATCCCTATACTGAACTCTGCTGCGTCCTACAACGTGAAGACGGCCTATAAGAAGTAAGAGTGGACAGGTGGAGCCAGGTGTACGACCTGTGATGTCTGTTTGGACTAGAGCTGCAGCTTATTTTAGTCATCATTAATCTGTTGATTATTCTGACAATTAAATAATCAGATATTAAAAATTGTCATGTTCTGCAGTAATTATTTAAGCTTATTTTATGAGAAATATACTTATTTAATATTGTGAAGAGGTAATCTACACCTGACCATCTGCTGAAAAGCTTTATGGAGATGAAGAGTTAATTTTTCAGTGTGACCTGGCACCTGCTCACAGTGCCAAAACCACTGCTAACTGGTTTACTGACCATGGTGTTACTGGGCTCAACTGGCCTGCCAACTCTCCTGACCTGAACCAGACTTCAACACAGTAAATTAAATGTGGAACAATTATTGCATTATACAACATAAATATATAAATATAGCTCTTAGTAAGCATACATGTGTTGACAGTGTAACCGTTAGCGGAAGCGCTAACATCGTAGCATTGTTTAACACAAAAACCATTCCAGGCTGATGAAAGTGTGCTGATTATAACGATGTATTTTTACGAAGCGTTGAGGCCGATAATTTGTCTCGACGATTTTTAGTGATTGAATTACAGGAGGAACGGTTCCAGACCTGGTTTGACCTCTGACCTCTGTGTGGTCCAGGTACCTGTACGGCTTTGAGGAGTACTGCCGCGGCGCCTCCATCACCTTCAGAACCGTCCACCACACCAACATGGTCCTGAGCAACCATAAGAAGACCCGGGCCGAGCTCAGAGAGTCCGGGCCGCCCCAGCTGAAGGTGGAACCTGTGGAGGAGAAGAAGGAGGGGGAGGAGGAAGAGGAGGAGGAGGAGGAGGACTCAGAGAGCGAGAGCGACAAGGAGATGAAGGAGAGACACCAGTCGTCTCCTCGGGTGAGCCTGCTGTCAGCCGTGCTTCAGTCTGGTGTTTGGAGTGAGGTTCTGACCCGCCGGGTCTCGGGGCTGGGTTTAGGGGAGGAGGAGGTGCGTGGGGAGTCGTCTCAAAATGTCCCCTCGACCCAACAACCCCGGACGAGGAGGAGGAGGAGCAGAGAACAGCGAGGAGCAGCAGCGGGAGGTGAGGAGACGCAGCAACAGGAGGATGGACGATTCAGAAAAGGGATCGGATGAGGAGGAAGAGGAGGAGGAGGAGGACAGAACAGCGAGGAGCAGCAGCGGGAGGTGAGGAGACGCAGCAACAGGAGGATGGACGATTCAGAAAAGGGATCGGATGAGGAGGAAGAGGAGGAGGAGGAGGACAGAACAGCGAGGAGCAGCAGCGGGAGGTGAGGAGACGCAGCAACAGGAGGATGGACGATTCAGAAAAGGGATCGGATGAGGAGGAAGAGGAGGAGGAGGAGCAGAGAACAGCGAGGAGCAGCAGCGGGAGGTGAGGAGACGCAGCAACAGGAGGATGGACGATTCAGAAAAGGGATCGGATGAGGAGGAAGAGGAGGAGGAGGAGCAGAGAACAGCGAGGAGCAGCAGCGG